CATCCTCACCAGTGGGAATAGGAGCGGTTGTGCAACGGCCACGCAACACCCGCGGCTCCAGCAAGCATTGCCACGGCATTTCCAGAGAGCACAAAGAAGGCAGGCGAGAGGTTTGTCAAGATAAAGGGACGTTGTCAGGGTTCAACATTAAATGTAGGACTCACGCCTGCCACACGGCTTGCTCGCTCGATTTAAGCCTGATGGGAGGTGGATGAAAACGTTTTCCCTGATGGAAGAAATCATCCAAGTGAGGGCTAACACACATTTTAACATCTTCATTTTGAAAACAACCGAGCGGCGTCGGGAATCCACTCTTCTCCCTGCTTAGATCTCTCTCTGAGACGGAGCGTTGAGATTATATAGGACACTGTGCCAGATATAGGCTATGGAGAGGACTCAGTAATTGACACTATTTTTATACCTTTTATGCAAATTGCAACCACCAGCCTACAAATCACCCGTTTAAGCAGCTGCGCGGCTGCTAAGTAACTTGTTTAAGCCCGAGCGTTGATGAACCCTGGTCTGGGCTAATTAATGCAGCCGTGGCTTTGCCCTGGTAACACCCTCCCGCACGCTTGCACGGCTAGCTGGCTACTCCTCCAAGCGAGCCAGGCAGATCCTGTCCAGCAAGGATAAGCATCAGACAGCAACGCTTTCCGCAAAGCAGCTTGCAGCAGCAAGCCAAGAGTGCAAACCGGCACAGACGACAGTGAGTGATGCTCGCCCAGGGCTATCGCTGGTGAAAATTTAAGCTCATTACAGAGGCAGCGCTGCTGCAAAGCGCGTGTGACTGCAAGGGGCAGGTTTGGGCTGTGTTAAGCCACAGGCTGCAAACGCTGTCCCGCGATGCCAGCACAAACAGCGTTTCAGGGAAGCTGGGTTTAGTAGATGATATTCTGCCACCAGTTCTGCTGCTCCCCTAAGAAACCCCAGGTTTCTGATGCCTCTTCTGGGCTGTTTTCTCCCATTTCTGCCCTTGAAACAAAAGCCTGGCGAGACTCCGACTTGCAGCAAGTTAACCCAGAAACGGTGACGTGTCTCCCTTCCCAGCCACTGGACCGTACTCTCTCCTTCACCCTTCCATAGACCTTTTCTCTGCCTTTTTTTGGTTGTTGTTTAGGTTCTTCCTAAAATCGAAGCCACTTAGCCCCAGGCTGATCCTCACATACATCCGATCACGTCTGCACCAACTATGACTTTGAGGTAGCGACTGACACCGCACGACGCTGGCACCCAAAAGCTTCCATCTTGCACCAGGGTCTCACGGAACCAGATGCTGCCCAGACAAATGAAAACGCAGCCCCGCCACCGTTCAGCAATCCCACTGCTTCCCACTGGTGCTCCTGTACTGGGACATAGCTGTCCCCAGCTGGATTTATGCCGTATTCTCTTACCGCACCTCTCTCTCACCAATTTTTCCTGTTCAATCGTTGATATTCCCTCTGCCCCTCTCCTCCCAGGCAGGAGGAGAGCTGAGCGCTCAGTGCAAACGTGTGCCAGGACGTTAGAAATCTGCGTGCGCGATGCAGAGCCGGAAAGCAATTAAAAACCCTTAGTGAGAGCAAAGCAAACCTTCCCTCCGGATACCCTGGAATCTGGCTCTAGTGTTCCGTTTCTTTTAGAGGGTGAGCCCTAAGTCCATTAAAACACGATCAGATGCAGTAGCTTTTACTGGCTTCTGTTACCAACATGGAGTTATTAATTGAAAAGCTCTTTTTTGTGCGAATCTGCCCGTCTAGCACTGGAGGCAAGCCCAGTGCTCCTTCTTCCATTTATCATCTCAATATTAAAGGCTTCTTAAAGAATCGAGGAAATAAGTAACGCGGGAATAAAACCAAGCTAGGAACGTACATTTTAGCCCAACTCATTTCTATGCAAGTCATGAGGAGGAGGAGTAAAACCCAGTAAACCCAATAAAACCCAGTAAAACATCTCTGTGAGGTCTGTTTCTCCTGGAGGAAAAAAGCCAGATACCTGCTCCTTATATTTTGGAAATCAGTCTATCTAAGCAACATTTGTGAACAAGTATTTTTATCCCCCTAAA